TTTTTTTATTTTTGTTTCCCAAAGTTCAGATAAAATAATTTATAATTTAATATATATATATATATAAATATATATACATCAGGGTTGCCGAATCCTAATGCCTTTCACGACACCAATTTCAGTCGACATTTTACTATCAGCTATAAGTATTTGCTAAAATTTCAAATCGCAAATAAAATGAATTCGAATCGAAGAAATAGTTTGTGAAATAATATATCAAGATATTTACGGTTTTTTATTGAAATTTCGAAAAAATTTAGATTTCAAAAAGTAAAAAACAAAAATTGAAATTTTGTTGGTATATAACTTGAGGGGCGATACAGAGAATTAAGAGAAAAATAAACCATTTACAATTTACAAACTGCAATAACCTACGCCTTCAGTAACTTGTCGTCTACGAAAAGTTAACAATGTATCAAAATATTTCTAAATATTTTCAATTTTTTTCTATAATATTTCGGAATAAATAAGTGTCTATTTTTCCGTATTTGAGTGTTTGCGATTGCGTAAAGATATATCGTAAAATTTGATTTACGATAAAGTTTGATCGTGAAATTTGATTTACGACAAATTTTTATCGTAAAATTTGATTTACGATAAATTTTTATCGTAAAATTATGTTCGTCGTAAATTTTTATCGTAAAATTTTATTTACGATAAATTTTTATCGTAAAATTCTGTTTGTCGTAATTTTTTATCGTAAAATTTTATTTACGATACACTTTTATCGTAAAATTTAAAAAATTTTCAAATTATTTTTTTTTTGTGAAGGTTTCTTTTGTTCGTTAAAGAAAAGGTTCGACACATCTCTAAATCATATATTGTACTTTTACATATACATATACGCCCTATATAATATGTATATATAATAGACATTATGTGTATATTTATTAATATTGAAAATGTCATTGTTATTTAATCAATTATTTCTTTTCCAATAAAATTGTGGTAAATTTTTCTCTTATATTTCTCTTTAAAAAGAAAAAGAAAAGGTTAAAAGATCTTAACTAAAAATTTAATGCTTCTTTAATATTTTCAACAAAAGTAAAACATTAAATCAAACATTTAACAAAAAAAAAAAAAAAAAATAAAAAAGCGATATGAATCATTTTTATTATTGATTGAATTGAATTTTTTCTTCATATTATTTCCTGTACATAATACCTGTATAACACTTATCTACACTCTCAAAACCCTTATTGTACAAAAAGTAATGTAATATGAAATTTATGATTAAAAGAAGAGAATAATCGGAAAATTCTTTAGAAAATTGATAGGCAACAAAAAAAGAAAAAATTTAACAGAAAAAGGGTTTTCCTGCGAAAACCAACGATAGCCCTTCTTTACACAATTCAATAAAATGAAAATAAATCAATGTTACAAATTTTACTTTGAATTCTCAATAACAATATCGAAATAAATATAAAATTATTTTTACAAAAATGATAAGAAAAATTTAAAGGAAATGTAAAAAATTATAATAAAGGAGATCGTCAGGTGTAAAAGATTTTCCCTTTTTTTTTTCTTAATTTCAATCCTTTTACGAGGAAACAATGTCCTTTTGTTAATTTTTACATTTTGAAATTTTTTGTTGAGATAAATGGCCCTTTTTGTAACTTTTTAAGACTATTAAAAAAAATAAATTTTTGAAGAATAAAAAAATATAAAAAAATCAAATAGAAAAACAGAAATTTTGTGTTTTTGTATACTACATTTTATTCAAGCATTGTTAATTAATTTTCACCGAACATTGATTCCTATTGCAAATGAGCCAAATCCACTTACTAAAACGAGTTCCTTAACAATATTAAAACTAATTTATTAAAATTCGAGATCCCGAAAATATTTCAAGAAAAAGCCTTCAAAAACTAATATGATCATGCAAGCGTACTTTAATGAAAAGATATCGAAAATTTCGACTACTTTAATTCAGTAAGATATTCAAAAATCAGATCAATGATTGAAGCACGTTATGAGGTTTTATTGATTTCTTAAGCCTTCTACTTTAAAGAAATTTTGTCAATAAAGAAAGCTTATTTAGAGTGATTGATTCATTTAATTTTCCTATAGAATAAGCAAATGTTATGCATGTTTTGCAAAAAAACACAATGTTACGCGAATGGTAGTGGCTTATTGCTCAAAATCACTTTAAATTTATTATTAAAAATCATAAAATCTCGTAAATATAACAAGTTTAAGTATAAATTACAAAAAAATTATATAATTTACAAATTGCATGTGGACGAACTTTTATTGGTGTCAGTGAGGTCAGGCAAAATTATAACTACACCAATAAATTAATTTTAAATGTATAAGCATATTGAAAAATGGGTTTTTTGACCCTATATAAAATAACGTAAACTCATACATTAAAGCAAATTTAATAAAATTTTTTTGAAAATATTAACCTTTACCAACTTTCATTTAAATTTATGAATTTCTTATAAATAAAATTTGTGTATTCAAACTTATTTTAACTCATTTGATTTTATTGTGTATTTAATGTTCAAAATTGTTCATGTTATACAAGCAAAAAAGATTCGTTTTCAAAGCAAGATGTTATAAAGGATTTGTTTTTAAACTGTTAGTATGATATAAAAATGGAAACGAGAAATCAATTGAATATAAAATATAAAAATTACCAAAGAAAAGAATTTTCCTTTAGTATTTAAATTAAAGTAGAAAGTTCTTAAAAATTTTCTTTATATGTTTACGTGAACATTAAATTTAAATACAATCATTTGATTCTTTTTACTTTTGCGAAAATTTTATCCAATTTACTCTTATTTTTTGTATCTAAAATCTCTCAAATTCTCATATAAAAGATGTACAGGGACATTATGAATTAAATTTTTTCTTTGAATTTGCTTTGAAAATCGATAACATTGCGAAATTTCGAAATATCTAAATCTATTGCGCGGACAAAGCCATCACCTTAATATGTTGATACGTATGAGATTTTGAACTGATTTGGAATTATACTGTTAACAGTTCCGACAATTTTATTATGTGCTTATGGTTCTTGATGATTAAAAACCGATTTCTGTTCGGGTCGTTTTTTAATTCATGTATACACATTGATTATACGATCCTTATAAGAGTGTATTATTCGAAATTTCCTCCTTCTCCCCATTATATTCTATTAATTATTGGAAGTCGGCTACTACCGCGTTATTTTTTCAGTAATTCCCAACTCTTCTAGAATTGAATTTTATTCCTTAATTTTTAATAATTTCTGTAATTCTTTTCTTCCTCCGTGAATTGAATTATATTTTTGAATAAACACCCTATATATTTAACAAGCAAAAATGTACCATAGAAAAGAAAACATTTTGCTTTTATATACTAAAAGTAAAAGGTTTTTTTTTACTATGTTTTAATACATAACATACACATAGATTTCAAATTATCAAAACGGGTTAGAGCATTAAAGGAAAACAAAATTCTTTATAAAAATAATTCATGTGAATAATATAAATAAGCACGTGCATTCATTTTAACTTTTATTTGTTCCAAAAAGTTAAGAAAAGCACAAAAATCTATACAATATTGAATCACATTTTACTAATATAGAAACATTTAGAAAACAACTGTAATGATTTATATCAAATATAAAAGTATATCAATATACTGAACACACACACATTAGATTTAAAATATTATTCCTTATTCTCTATTTATTATTAGAACCCAAGAGTTCCAAGAAAATTACCATATAAAAAAAGGAATCTTATATATATAAAAATATATTTATATTAAGCATATAATCAAAAAAACAGAATTAAGCAACATATTCAAAGAAACCTGATGTAAATTTCCCGACATATTCACTTTTTGAACTACGACTAAAATGTAAGGAAATTTTCAAAAAAGAAATTGTCATTTCATCATACTCTTACAATATTCCCAAATATGGAACAATTTAAGCTTCTCAAATAAGAGAACATTTATCTAAAATCTAAAACCGAGTTGCTTTTGGATGCAATAAATTCCGCTCCAAGTAATGCTCTAAAACGGCTCCTAGGAATTCCGAAATTGTATTACAAAGCATTCAATAAAATATTTACACCGGGATGTTTTCAAGATCATAATTAACTATATATTCATGGGGTTTAAAATTGGTCACGCTATCCGCAATTTGTTCATAGTTATCTTCGAGAAACTGATCGTCAGATCGTATGATCTCGGTGAAATCATAAGGTTTTCCTCATATGGTTGTCTTAAACAAGAGAAAATTATGTAATAATTTTATTTATACTATTTTACCGCGTTTCAAATAATAGAAATAATTATGACCGTTGATTGAACTGTATTCAAAAAAAAAATTTTAAGGTCGCGCATTACCGAGAAAATAGCAAGAAGTAGAAACTGTGAATACGAATTCACATAAAAAAAAAAAAACTCATAACTTAAATATTTAAAGAACTACTAAACTTGTTGATTGTATTAAAAAGGAAAGAAAAAAGAATAAAGAAAATTTTTTCATTTTGAATATTTTAAGCGTAAACAAAAGAAAAATCAGCCTTGAAGCAATATGTGCTCTTTTGAAGTTCAAAACTTCAAACTTAATTGAATTTATTGAATATTGAAAGTGGGTGAAATAAAAAGAATTTATAATTGATACTTTTCTTTTTATGGCTCAAAACAAAATATTTTTAAATTCTCAAGACGATGTGAAATCTAATTTATCTAGTTTTAACTTTACAAATCTACAACAAGTGATCTTAGAGTACATGGGTCTTCTTGAACTTTGTTGGTTTTATTCCAAGCTCATTCTGGCGATATTACTGGCGGCTTTTCTTAGATTGTGTAGAATTCATATTACCACTTTTTTTATTTTTATTTGTTTGCTTGCTCTACACCTGTGATTTTCCAAAAATCTTCGTTTCCTTATATAGTCAAGTAAACATTTTAGTTTTAATTAAAAATTTTTAAATTCATAATTTCAATTCATAATTTTTCTTTAATTATAATTTTTCTAATGTTAATTTTGTTTTTAGATGCTGAAGCCCGTGCAGCAGCCGCTGCATTACTTGAAGCAGCAAATTCAACTGACGATGCAAATACAACTGAAAATGCTGAAACTGAAACTAAAACTGATTAGTGCTTTTTTGTCATTAAGATAAAATTAATCATCTATTATTATCATTAATTATAATTTCAAAAAACAAAGAAAAAAACTGAAAAAGTTTTAAGAAAAAGGGAAAAAATTTTATTTAACAAAAAAAAAAAATGGAGGGAATTAAAAATTTATTACAAGAAAAAAAAAAAATTGAAATTATTATAACAATGTTGTTGTAGAGAAAATAACAAAAAAATTTTTAAAAATATTGTTTTTTATTAAAATTAAAAACTTACACAAATTTAAAAATAAATTTTATCATTAAAATCAATAAAAAAAAACTTTAATTTATTAAAAAAAAACAAATTACTAATTAAATCTATTGACTAAATATTAAATTTAAAACCAAACTAATATTAAGTTTTATTTTTAATTTATTATTTTATTATTTCTCAATTTTTCATAGTTAAATTTTTTTGTTAACAAATTAATTATAATGTTAAAAACTGAAATTTCAAAAAAACAGAAAAACAAATTTCCAAAAAAAAAAAATAATTCAAAAAACAAAACAAAACTTTTTTACTCTATTTTAACGAAAAATAAAACAAAAAAAAACACAAAAACCTTCTAATATTAAAAAAATTTTATAATAGTAAAAAAATAAATACGTGTACTAAAAATACAAAATAATAAATGTAATTGTAAATAAATTAATTGAAAATAAAAAAAAATTGTATTAGAAATTCATTTAGAAAAAAAATACTTATTAATTTATATAAAAAAAACAAAACATTAAATATAAAAAACCCAAAAAAAAAAATTAATTCACAAAATAATGTTAGAAAAAAAAAATTATTAGAGAAAATGTTTAAACCAAATGATTAAAAATATCGCAATAGAAAAAAAAATATTTATTTATAAAATATTAGAAAAAAAAATTAAAAATAAAAGAAAACTGCGCTTTTTAGGACAAACTACATATAAAATTAAAATATAAAAATTAAATATTAAAAATTTAATAAAAAAAAAACAAAGAAATTATAAAATGAAAAACATATTTTTTGCGACAAAACAAACAAACAAAAAAATTATAATATTTAACTGTAAAAAACAAACAAAACATTGGGAACATAAAAATAAATAAAACAACAAAAATCTCAATCACGCTTTAATAATCGTATATATAAAAAAATTAAAACTAAAAATATAAAAGAAAATGAAGAGAAAATTATTTATAAAATAAAATACAATATAAATATGCTTTAAAATTAATAAAAAAAATTAAGATAAAATAATTGTTATATAACACAAAATACATATACATATTGTCGTATAACAAAATAACATTATAATATTTTAGAATACACATTACACAATTTCAAATAAAATTGGAATACAAGGAAGACACAGTTAAAAATATTCGGCATTTGTATAAAGTCGGACCTCTTATATATAGTTCGGAGATCTTTCTGTCACAGAAAAACATAACAAATAAACTGCAAAAATCTTTTTAAAAATGAGTTTTTTGAAATCATCTGCAAAAAAATACTGACCCCCAACTGAAAAACAATGCCAACTTATGGGAACCTAACTAAAAAAAGAGAAAAAATATTAGTGGCCATAAAAAGAAGAAAATTGGATTGTATATACATTTGCCTCATACAATTTGTCATTTGAGTGGCACTAGAGTGCAATCCTCGAGAAAAAACAGATGTCGGCCAGCCCAAAGCATGAGCAAAAATCAAATATATCATTAAAAACAGTACAAGTGACTACAATTATTTGCACTAATCAAGAGAAAATATCCTTCGATATTTTCCAATAAACAGTTTTAAAAATTTATAACTTTCAGTATTTTAAAGCAAAAGACTCAAATAAGTTATTAGGATCTATAGATTTCTGTGGTATTACATACGTAATACTTGTATTTCTATATCTAATAATATATTTTAATATTTATTCTTCAACCTACATTCCTTTGTATAACGCTATTCAAAAAAATTCATTCTTTTAAAAATTCATAAATATTAAAAACTTTTATTGTATAAAAAAAAAATTACATTTTATTATTTATTTCCAATCAAATATTTCAAAAATAAGAAATTAATTGATTTATTTAAATTTACAACAAAAAAAGACAAATGAAAAATATTTAATTGGATTAACATTTATGGTACTTTAAACATAAATTACATATTAATTTTTTTTTTTTTGTTGCAATTAATTATTGAAAACTTTTTTTTACATTTCAATATTATGATTAAAAATAATAAATAACGCAAATTGAATTAATTAAATTGACTAATTAAGGAATAAATAAAATCAGATATTTACTTGTGACAAAAATTATTTACATAATATACAATATAAAATAATCTATATTAATGCATTATTTTAATATGCACATAAATATTTTAAATACTAATTAAAAAATGAATTTAAATTATTTTTTTGTTCATTTTTGAACTTTTTAATATTTAATTTGTATTATTAAATAAGTGTTGTATATTTTTTAATATCAACATACATAAATACTATGATATGGAAAAAATTTCGATTGTCATTGTATAACACAATTATGAAAATTACAAAATTTTTAAATTATTTTTGAAAAAAATTTGAAACATTAAGCTTATATTTATTATCTTTAGTGAATTATATTCATTATCATTAATATGATTCACTAAAGTTTACAATTTTCCAGTAAATTAAAATAAAATAAAACGAAAATCGAATTCAAGTGAGTTGCTCTTATATATACTAATCACAAAATTTTCTTCATAAGCTCCCCATATAGTAGATGTATACATAAATATATCAAAAATTGTTATATTAGCAATTAAATTTTTTAAATACATAATTATTTTGAATAATTAAATTATAAATAATAGATTACAACAATTTCGTATTTTTTTTTTAAAAATAATGAAAATTTTTAATTCAAAATTTATTATGAAAAATTAAAATAATTTTTAAAAATAATTGCTATACTCACATGCTAAATTATATACTTGAAATATTTTTCTATATTTACAAAATATTTATAATATAATATTATGGATTGCTATATCTACAATACAATACATATGTACATATATGAACTCATCTCTTTAATTAAATCAAAAAAAAAAATTAATGAAAATTCTGAAAAATTTTTAATTTAAATTGATTTAATATGAAATAATCTCATAATATGCCAATGGTATCATATAAGCAGTAAACCAAAACCAAAATTTCATATATAAAAGAGATTTAAAATCTGTACCTGTACATAAAGTATACATAAAAATATATAGGTATAATAACAAAGTTCATACATAGGTATATATAACAGTATTTATTAAAGTCGTATATTCCCTTTAATACGTATGTACAAAACACTACAAAATTCAACAAAATCGATTCCCAAAATCAGAATACACGAAAGTAATTGACATAACAATATTTAAAAAAAAAAAATTGAAATTGAAATTCAAGCAGCCCTCAAAATAAAAGGATATTTTAATATTTATGAATGTATATACTATAAATAAATAATATATTTACCGTGTGTATATAATTCATATTATATATTACACAATAACACACACATACTCGTACATAAAATCATAAACGTAAAGATAAAGATTGCTGAACAGATTGTATAATTAGCAGTGTATGTAGGTGTATTAATACAGAATATTTTTATTACATTATAACAATAATAATATAACTATAATATAAATCAAATATTGTAATGAATAAATAATAATTTTCTGATATACATATATAATATTCTATAAATAAATATTTATTTCTTCTTTAATTCTCCTATATTATTTTTATGTAAATTCAATTTGTGTTCTTTTATATATTCATATTTTACTTAAATATTGTAATAGATATAAAATGAATGTAAGAATATAAATAATTTTATATTGAAGAATGTGTCAAAATCAACTTATTATTTAAAACTAATTATTTAATTTATACATTATTTAATTAATTATTTAATTATACACATAGGTTGTTCTTATAAATCTATATTATATTAAACATCGTTTCAATAAAATCATCTTCTCACATAGAATATATACGAAAAAATTACATTTAAAATTATAAAATGAAAAAAATTAAAATTTTTGAATATTTTCTTCAAATTTCTTAAAACTGTACTCAAATGCTCATAAACAAATATTGCCATCCAGTTTGTGTACAAAAATATTGTTAAATTATCAGCAATGCAGTGAAATTATTATGGGTGATGCAATCAAATCATATTGTGAACTGTTTTCCTTTTATCGAATTGTCAAAACTATATTCTTGCAATAATGCGTTTTGTAAAGAAAATCTTTGCTATTTCCATTCAAATCTCTTGTTCCCTTCAATTTCAAAAATCATAAAATTTTCAACGCATACCTAAAAAAGAAAAATTATTGATTGAAAAATAAGCTGAAAACTAAATAATTGCATTGTATAACAGATATACATCATATACAAAAATAATTAATAAAAATATAACAAAAAAATATATAAATAATAAAATTTTGTGTTATTATAACAATTGAAATTATAAAAGAAAAATTGCATTCATAATGGCATATATACACACATATTAACAAAGCTCATATATATAATTATATATACATATATTTTAAAAAATATAAAAAAAAAATCAAAAGCAAAGAACACCCAAAATAAAATTTAAAATTTGTATATAAAAACTGACAAAAACAAAAATATTAAAAATTAAATATTTAAGAAAGAAAAAAAAATTCTAATTTCAATAAAATATAAAATAGAGAAAAATTAAATTAAAAATTTAAAATAATCTACAAAAATATGAAATAAATTGAATAATAAAACAAAAATTTCAGAATCTACAGAAATATTCTAATATTTGAATCTAAATAGGCATATTATATAATTTTCAGATATCTGTTTTAGATTTACAACCGCATTAAATCTGAAACAGAGTAAAACAAAAATGTGAAAAAAACCCAAAAAGAAAAAAATAAAAAAGTCTATATACCTATATATAAATATATTTTTCATCAATTTATTTAAATAAAAATTATATTTTAAACTTTCTATGAAATGTTTTTTGTATAAATTTCAAATTTATTAAAAGAATAAATAAATAAATTTAAAACAAAAAAATATAATAAAAACTCTATATAAAACTTTAAAATTTAATATTTACCTTTTACTATATTATAACAAAGAAAAAAAGAAACAAAATATTATACTGTTATTTTTAATTTTTAATTTGTTATACACTAATATATATTATATAATATAATATGTATATATTTTTTAAAAAGAAAATTGTTATATAAAAGTACAATTTGGAAATAACTTTTGTCCATAAGATTACAGCAACAATAGAGAAAGTAAGATATTTTAAATAATATTATTTAAAAGAGAAAATAATATTTGATAAAATTTCAATTAGAATATTAAATACATACATACACATGAACAAAGAAAAACAAATAAAATAAATAATAATAAATTTAAAAAGGCAATAGAAATAACCTTGTCTGTGTCCACATTGAACAAAAGTTATAACCTATAAAATATAAAAATAAAATTAAATTATATTTAATGCAAAATTTCCATACCATTGAAAATAAATTCAAATAAAATTGTAGAATAGAAAAAATAAAAATTTTATAAATTAAAATTTAATGAAAGAAAAAGAGAAAAAATTTTATAAAACAAAAAAATTTAAAAAATTTTCTAATAAAGTAGCCAAGCTCTCTCTCTCTTTTTTTAAAAACATTTGTCATATTTAATTAAG